TAGACCTTAGGAAGAAATTCTTCAGTACGAGGGTGGCAAGACTTTGGAATAAATTTCCCAGAGACGTTGTGGCTGCCCCATCCCTGGAGGGGTTCAAGGCCAAGTTGGATGGAGCCTTGAGTAGCCTGATCTAGTTGAGAGGCGTCCCTGACCATGACAGGGAGGTTGGATTAAATGATCTCTAAGGTCCCTTCCAGCCTAGGCCATTCTATGTTTCTATGATTCAGTCAGGCCAGTCTTCTACCTCACCAGCTCATTTTTAGGCACACAGGGACAGTCTGCTCCTGTGTCTTCATAATTTCCTTCTTGAAGTAAGACCAGCCTTCCTGGGCCCCTTTGAGGGCTGCTTCCCAAGGGAATCTCCAAACCAGCATCCTGAATAGACTAAAGTCAGTCCTCCAGAAGTCCAAGGTAGAGGTTTTGCTGACAACCCTCCCAGCTACACCACACATTGAAAATTATATCCTACCATGGTCACTGTGGCCAAGGCAACCTCCGACCACCACACCTTCCACCAGCCCCTCCCTGTTCATAAGGAGTAGGTCTAGCAGGGCACTACCCCTGCAACAGGAAGTTGCCATCCGTACATTCCAGAAACTGCCTAGACTGCCCTGTTTCTGCTTTCTTGTACTTCCAGCAGACATCTGGTAAGCTGAAGTCCCTCAGGAGAACAAGGGCTAGTGAATGCAAGACATCTCCTAGCTGTTGAAAGAATGTCTCGTCAGTGTCTTTGTCCTGGTCGGGTGGTCTGTAGCAGACTCCCACTAGGACATCAGCCTCATCGGCCTTCCCCTTTAACCTTAGCCATAAACATCCCACCTTGGTGTGTCTAACACTGAATTCTAGGCAGTCAAAGCACTCCTTAACATATAACACTACCCCATCATCACTCTTTTCTTGCCTATCCCTTCTAAAGAGCTCGTAGCCATTCATTGTGGCACTCCAACTATGCGAATCATCCTACCACGTTTTTGTGATGGCAATTATATCATGGTTTCTCGGGTGCACAATAGCTTCTAACTCCTCCTGTTTATTGCCCATGCTACGGGTACTGGTATATATGCACTTGATACGTGGTACAGATATCATCTCCAACACCGGCACATCAACCCAAGTCTTATACTTAGCAGTCCTAGGTTTGTCACATATATCACCATTATCCACCTCAAGTGGGACAGCAGACTGAAGGCCGTCCTAAGCCTCATCTCTAGTGAGCCTGGTTTTATACCCTTCCCCCTTCGAGCCTAGTTTAAAACCCTTTCAACAAGCCCCACCAGCTCCTGTGCGAGGATCCTTTTCCCCCTTTGAGACAGATGTACTCCATCTGTCGCCAGCAGACCAGGTGCCATATAAACTTCCCCATGACCAAAGAACCCCAAATTCCAACAGTGGCACCAGTCTCTGAGCCACATGTTAATCAGGTGTGATTTCCATGCTCTTTCAGTGTTTCTCCCTATGACTTGAAGGACTGATGAAAACACCACCTGGACACCCAAGCCTTCAACTAGTCGCCCCAATGCCTTGAAGTCCTTTTTAAGTGTCTCTGGACTTCTCTCTGCAACCTCGTCATTGCCAACCTGGATAACTAACACAAGGTAGTAATCAGAGGGCTGCACCAGAGCAGAGAGTTTCCTTTTAAGATCTACAACCTGAGCCCCAGGGAGGCAGTAGAATTCCCTGTGGGATGGGTCTTGTCGACAAGTGAGCCCCTCTATTCCCCTCAGAAGAGTCACCTATTACAACTACCCTCCTTTTCTTCTTAACTGAAGAACTCCTAAGGCACGGGGTGAGTGACAAACGCTGGAGGACTCACTGGTTGGATTTTTGTCTCCATCTTCATTCACCTGACCTTCAAGTCCCAAACCCCCATACCTATTGTGTAAGTGCAACTGGGAAAGTGAGGGGGACCAGGAGGGTTTTCACTTGCTCAAGGGATGCAAGATTAATTCCATAATTCCTCCTTTTCAGAGAGGGGTGAAACAGGTAAGAAGACTTATATTCATAGTCATCTTGATTAGTTAACTGAGCTAATTTTTTTAACTTGAACAGGAATTTGATGCACCACTCAGAACACGTTTTTTAGTCCCTCTGTAATTTGACACAGTTCCTCCTGCCTCAATGTGCGCTGAGTTCACATTTTCAAAAGTCCTCTCCCAACCTATTAAACTGTCCTGATTTCAGAGAATCATAGAATGGCCTAAGCTGGAAGGGGCCTTAGAGACCATTTTAATCCAGCCTCCCTGCCGCCAGGGACCCCTGGAATCGAACCCGTGACCTTAGCGTTGTTAGCACTAAGCTCAACTGACTGAGCTAACCAGCCCCCTACTGGAATAAAGTTAATTTACTTTCTAGTAGCTAGGATAGTGTTGTGTTTTGGATTTAAGATGAGAACAATGCTGATAACACGCTGAGGATTTAGTTGTTGCTGAGCAGTGTTTATACTAAGTGAAGGACTTTTCAGCTTCTCATACTGCCCTGCCAGCAGAGGCTGAGGGTGCACAAGGAGCTGGGAGGGGACACAGCCAGGACAGCTGATTCAAACAAGTCAAAGGGGTATTTCATGTTGTATGACACCATGCCCAGTATATAAACTGGGGGAGAGTTGGCCAGGGGACACTGCAGCTCAGAAACTGACTGGACATTGGTCAGTGAGTGACAAGTAAGTGTATCGTGCATCATTTTTTTGTACGTTCTATTTCCTTTTCTCCTTCTGTCCTAATGAACTGTCTTCATCTCGACCCACAAGTTTTACTTTTTTTCCCTCCTGATTCTCTCCCCCATTCCACCGAAGGGAGGAGCAAGCAAGTGGCCGTGTAGTGCAACTGCCAGCTGGGGTTAAACTGTGACAAAAGCCTGAAGTATTATTTTAAATAATTATTCTTAAAAAACAACTTAAAAAAGCACTAGAAATGTGGGCAATAGAAGAGAGCCTGGTAGAACACTGTGTTACACCACCACAAATCATGCCAAAGAGTAAACAACTACTTATTCAACATTAATTGTACTGGCTATATTAATTCCTCTTCTGAGGCACATATATGCCCACATACAAGAAATCAGACTTCTTTCAGAAGCAGTGTCTGTTCTTCTGTAACTGAGATGGGGTTTGCATATGTCAAGAAAGAAGTAAAAACCCCTTGTGCGTGCCTAGTTGTGCCTCAGTCACGTGAGAACCCAGGTGGCAAAGGACATGAAAATAACAGGAATGAACGGCAGCTCACAGAATCCATATGTACTACATATAGAAAGACTATCATTGTTATAACCTGTCTGTTTCGAGCCATCTGTCTGTACAATTCATCTCTCTGACTTGCAATGCAAGATGAGTGATAATATCCCTGTCTAAGCAAAGAAGAGCAAGGCAACCACGCCATCCTGAAGCTGTAACACAGGCCAAACTTCGGATGCTAGAGTGCTTTACAACAAGAGCTAGGAGGGCACCTAAATTCTGGATCAGCAAGCTTTGATCTGGAGAGAATCTAACTTCAACTTCTCAGCCAAGGAGACTATCCGTGTCACACCATTCTTGAACCTAGTAGCCAAGATACGTGTAGTTTGAAGATTTTTTTGACTCACCTCTGAATCAAAAGAAAGGTTTGGCTTTGTACCTGTTCCCCTTCACAGAGATTGAGAAAAGTGGGTGATTTAAAAAAAAAACAACAACCCACAAAACAAAAAGAGCAAACCAAACCACTCTGGAAACAAGCTTCAGGTAAGAATTACCTTTTCTTTGTGTGTGGCATGGCTGCAATGGTCTACTTTTCTTCCATCATCCAAGCCAAACAAAATATACTAAAATAATAATTTTTTTATAATATGACAGAGACAACAGGAAGAGTCCAAAGGGGTCAAATAAAACGGTCTACTCGATCCTCCATTCCCATGAGAGGTGTTTTCAGATGAGGAAAAGGATGTAACAGAATTGATCCTGCCTTGGACAAGTGAAGAGATGAGACTACCATTGAATTCCTAACTCAGTCCTCATGAGAAAGGGGAGAGGTCTGCCCAAACCTGAAAGTCCTCCAGCCTGGAAGACATTTCAGTGTTGTAAATACTTCAACTAAATAGGTGATACTGGACTCACTTGCATCCTACCTGTCTTTGTAAAGACCATCACACTTCAGTTCTGACATCACACTTCAGTTCTGACTTGCATTCGCGATCCAGCAGGGAGTGTAAATCATTTCTGATGTTAGTACGATAAGGAAAGTATCCAACAGATAGCCTGAGCCCAATATCCGTTCAAACAGAAAATCCTCCTGCCTGTGGCAGATGTGGCTCACCTGGGAAAGATGCAGTTTGAATATTTGACCTTTTACTCATTGCAATTTCGTTGTCAAGTAGACTGGTATTTTTAAAAGGGTGAATATAAAAGGTTTTTAAAAATACAAATGATACACTACAATATCGCTATCACATAACACCTGCACCATAATAAATGAAAACAGGAAAATAAGTGCACCGCAGTGTGCCTCTGGAAGATTAAAGGAAGAGCTTAAGAAAAACAATGAAATTTTACTTTTAGGGTTGGAACAGGGAAAAAACAGTCTGCACCTTTTTATAAACTTTCTTATTATAGAGAAATCTTTAAAACTACTTTCAAAATTGATCCTTTTTATTCCGGGAAAAAACAATGGGCTGTCTTTTCCCCTTCTCAGAAGAACCATATCTGACATAAGTTGGGAATTCTTCCAGTCCCTCAATGAAAACAACTTGAGACACTCCATCTTTTACAAGACTTTCATTCTCCTGCCGTTTTTTCTTTAAATTTTCCAGTGAAGTGAATCTTGAAAGTAATCTTTAAGTCTCATTAAAGACTGCTTGAAATATGGTTATTCTTGGTTGCTACGTTTTGAATCTGAGTTATTAATTCTCCAATTAACCCCAACTAAATCTGGGAGTTTTAACATTAAAAATTTGAGTTAGGAGTAAAAAAAAAAAAAAAATCCTTTAATACCCACCACCCCAATTGCATTATACAAGGAGAATCAAAGTTGTATTATTTTTTCTTATAATTTCCCCATCTGCAGCCCTCACTGCCCTATTCTCCCCCCAACCCTGTTGTCCCCACTTACGTTCAAATGCTTATGTAACATTAGTTGCAGGCAGAGATCAGATAACATGCCTACATTTGCAGGGTCACCACAACAAGAATATTGCATTTTTCCACAATACAGAAGAATTAATTTAACAATTTCTTTTTCATATTTCAGTTACTTATGTCTCCATCAAAAATGCATCTTGAAGAGTCTTTGCACATAAATTTACGAGATTGTTACATTTAATAACAGATTATATCAGAGTATTCACCCACACTTCTAAGTAGCATTTTCATCTTACTCTACAAATCTATGTTAAAATATTGTAAAAAACATTTGCTTTTACCTTAGAATCAGGGTCTTTAGGACTATATTAACCAACTGTTTATGGAATAAGCTTGTCTAAATAAATTATCCAGTACCTTTTCATAAGACAAACAGGAAAAGCATCGAATGATTTGATCAGCCAGCTAGCAAAGAATTGTGCAATCCTGAACATCCAGTACCCAATCGCCAGCTGTCACATGCTGTCTGCATACAAATCAAATTTATATTTCTCAACACATCTAGCTAAAACTTGAAAGAGCAATTAGGCAATTACCACAGGACATCAAACAGTCAGTACACATTTCATAGAATTATTAAGGTTGGAAAAGACCTCTAAGATCATCTCATCCTACAGTCTACTCAACACTACGATGACCACTAAACCATGTCCTGAAGTGCCACATCAACACATTTTTTTAATACCTCCAGGGATGGCAACTCCACTACTTCCCTGGGCAGCCTGTTCCAATGCCTCATCACTCTTTCAGGAAAGAAATTCTTCCTAATACCTAATCTAAACCTCTCCTGGTGCAACCTGAGGCCATCTTCTCTTGTCCTATCATCGGTAACTTGGGAGAAGAGACCAACACTCACCTCACTACAACCTCCTTTCAGGCAGCTGTAGAGAGTAACAAGGTCTCCTCTCAGCCTCCTCCAGGCTAAACAATCCCAGCTCCCTCAGCCATTCTTCATAAGACTTGTTCTCTAGACCCCCTCACCACTGTCGTTGCTCTTCTCTGAAGCCACTCTAGCACCTTAATGTCTTTCTTACACCGCGGCACCCAAAACTGAACACAGGACTAAAGCTGTGGCCTCACCAGTGATGAGTACAGGGGCATGATAACTTCCCTACTCTTGCTAGACACACTATTTTTGACACAGGCTAGGATGCCATTGGCCATCTTGGCCACCTGGGCACACTGATGGCTCATGTTCAGCCATTTGATACTATGCAGTTATATTTTGGGAGCCTATTTACCTGACCAAATGCTTGTTAATATCATCTAGTAACAACTAATAATCTGAGTAAAAATCCAAGACAGAAAATTCAACCTTGTCTTAATGAGAAGGGGTGTGGTAAAGAGGAGGGAACTCTGCAGGAAACTCTGAGTACTCAGTCTTCCTAATAGAAGTCACAGTCAACTACTTTTAAGTGAATTCCTTAAAACTCCTGGTACCAGAGAAGCAGATGAAAAGAACTACAGACTAAGGTCACGCCAATGAAATCTTCCATGTCTCTCCTGGCCCATCAATCACTTCCATACTCTCAGAAGCTGATCCTTCAGCAAAGAAATCAAAATATTCTCAGAACCACACAGAAGGGTTCTTCTGTTTATGGTCTGAGCAGGAGCTTCCCTTTTGTTCTCAAAAGGTTTAAATTTACAGCGAGGGAGGGTGAGACCAGCTGGCTCAGCCAGACAAATACACAACTGTGGGAACAGATCCGATCAAAACATCTCAAGCTTTCAGCACACACATCACAAGTATTACTTCTACCACTGCAGA